CACAGAGCAGCCTGCAGTCACTAACAGTCAGGGTTACAGTGCAGCCCTTCTGGAAAGCAGTCTTGTCTTCTATTCTGGACCAGTTTCTGACTAGGACTCACAAGCTGGTATAAATGGCTTGATGCTTGGAACAGGGAGCTGTGGGACTGTTTCTCTAAGTCCAGCTGTACCCAGTATGCTTCCAGGACTCTGCAAAAACAGGTAGGGCTGGAAAAAAAGCTGGATCTGTCAATTCAGCCCAGCTTCCAGGCTGGGACAGAAGAGCAAATGTGCCTGGAATAAGCATAGGCTCTGAGTTTATACATATTCCAGAAGGGTTCACATACTGACTTGTGAGGAAATCAGACTGATGAGCTATTTTGGTGCTAGTCTGCATGCAAATGAACTCTCCCAAACAAGCAGACACCAAATTCAGATGTGTTTTTTAGAAAAAGTAAATAAGCAGCCACAAAGTCATTTGCAAGGCTTATCTAAACCTGATTAATCATGCTAGTACAAGCTTGTTTTGAACAAAGGTCTACTCTTAGGAGAAAATGAGAGGGGAAAAAATCCATTCCCTATCCTCACCAGCTACATGCACCTTCTCACAGGGAATGACAGCTGCTAGATTTAGCTTAGCTTTCAGCTGAACTGAAGCTTTCCACATAAACATCCAGGACATGGCCAGTGGTTAATAAACCATAAGCTGCTCCAGAATCCACAGTGAGTCTTTGTGGATTTTGTTAAAAGGCATACTGAGTAAAAACAGTGGAGTATTTTGTTTGTTTCGTACTACAAGGCAGCAAGAAAATGTAAATGTTTTTCATGAGTCTAGATTCAGACTATCAAAATATCCTAAATCAAGTTCATGAAACCTGAAAGGCAGTTTTGAGCTTTCGCAGCCCAGGCTGTATCTGCTTATCCGCTCTCTGAAGAGCGGCTGACACGATGTCTCAGATGGACGGAAAACATTCCATAAGCAACTGCGGAGGGTGTGGTGGCACAGCAGCCTGCAGAGTAGCACAGAAAACACATTGATTCCTCCTGCCTACTGTGTCTTCTACTGGATCCAGCGTAACAGAAATGGCTGCTGTGACTAGGCAGCCGTGAGGGTGGGTTAGAAATGAGAAGGAAACTGGTGGAATACCAAGAAACACTCGTTTTTTCCAAGAGATGCTTACTGGTCACTGCTAACACCATTAGATCACTCACAGTGGGATTTAGCACAGTGCTTTCTCCTAGCTGCACTTGGCAGCATGCCATGCTTCACGCACAGATCTGATCCATGTTTCAGTGTGAAGACAGTCCGCAATCTTTTTGGTTTTAAAAACAGAGCATGCAGAAGTACATTTCTGACTATATTAAACATTTCTAACACATCCTGTTGCCGTAGTAGCTAGATAATGAGACCACAGTATTTAAAGTCTTGGAGGAAAAAATGTCAAGGCCTTTGAGAAATCTGCTGTTTCCTTTTTTTCTTTTTTAACCTACTCACTGAGTGATTTTCTTTTTTCTTGACTATTTTGAGCGTACAACAAGGTATGCACTCGAACTGATATCTTCAGACATACAGGCCACAGAGGAATGCGTCAGTGACTCTTCTCCCAGCTTGTGTATTGATAGTGTGTAGAATCAAGTACAGAAAGTACAGGTTTGTGTCAGACAGATCACATTCGTTAACAAACATGCAAAGCTAACAAGCAGTATGTTCCCAGTCTACTATAAATTACTCAGACAAATCAAAGCAGCACTAAAATAAGCAATATTTCTGGTCACTTGCACTATAAAGGAAAACAGTTTCTTGGAATTCAGAAGTGGAGAGGTCCAATCCAAGCCCACAAATGCTGATCTTGGATCTTCTGAGCATATGTTTAGAGTATAATAATGCCTGCAAAGCACTGGAGACAAGGATACAGAACTGCTTCTATAACTGCTTATTGCTGCTTCAAGAGTCGGGCTAAAAAGAGATCAGAATGGTACTTTTCTGAACAAAGGTTTGGAAAACTGTAGGACCTTTTATTCTCTGAGACTATGGACCTTGTATGCTGTTTATGCTGAAGAGAGACACACAAAGATCCTTCAGAGCTTGCTGGCAGAAAGGCTGCCCTTCCAGAGGACAGCTCTACCCTATGCAGCAGTACTGGGCTTGCTGGCCTCTGGAGAGGGCATTTGGAGAGAGTGCTGTTGTTGTAAGAGGACTGCCCAGCACACGCCCCACTTCAGCGACTCCACGCTCTATGGCAAGTAGCTCTCCATAGACCTGTGGGACTGTAAATTGCATGGGTGGGCACAGGGCAGGGATAGAATAAGGAAAGCATAAAAGTAGCTTAAAACAACTGTTCCTACCCCCACTCCTGCTCCTTTCCCATGCCCAGCAGTGACAGGTATAGAAATAGCTATCCTTCATCGACCTGCTTCACAGGCACGTGCTTGGAAGCTATCAGTTAGTTCATATAAGAAACACAGAAAGGCCAAGCTTTGTAACACAGCTTCTTTTAAATGCTTGACATACAGAGAGATTATTCAAAGTCAGCTATGGATAGCTGATATTTTAAGAAGAAGCTTCCAAAAATTCTGTGTTTCTTGTCCCATGATAAGCCACATGACTAGGCACATCATTCTGAAAGGGGGGGTGGGGGAAGAGTTTAGCAGTGTGGGAAAGAGAGGGTCAAGACTACATAATCTATTTGTTTGTTTTCCTGTTTGAACAACAGGGTTGCAGAATGACACAGAACCAAACAGCTATGAACATAACTAAGAGTTATTCTGCTGAGTACACTGGTAATATAAAAATGTAAAAGCAATTCTTGTCCAATGCATGAACAGTTTGGGATGCAGGTCCCATAAAAGATTTGGGAACGAACTTCTCTGAGGTTTGGTAAAAGGATGGTCAGCATCTGGTGCAAGAAAATTCTGGTCTTCTGAAGTATTTTATGAGACCTAACAATAAGCTCTCTCTGTTTGTGGCAGCTTAAGACATACCCCGATAGGAACTGAACTTCACTGCAACAAACGGGCATCACCTTGATATTCCATGCTACTTGGCTGTGGGCCTACTATTCATCCAACATTTCCCAAGCAGCTCCCTCTATCCCACTGCTGAGTGTCTCTCAGCAGGGCAACACCTTCAAGAACGAGTAAAAGTTCTATCCCTACTAGTATGGGGTGAAGAACCTAATGCTGCTGCATGAATTAACAGTGTGCTCAGATGTGTTTGGCCAGGACTTTAATGAGGATGGCAAGTGTTCTGCTGGATAACTGTTACAGAGAGGCTCTGTGATGCTACAGCTGCTGAGGACTTGGTACTTGCAGGTGTGCACTTTGCCTACAACCTAGTTGACGCAGGAACCTGGGCTTGGATATTTCCTGCTTTCTCAGCTATTTTAAGACAGGGGAGGTAGTCACATGTGGTTTTCTTACAAGCTCTCTTTCAATACTTGACTTCTTGGGGCCCAGTCGTGTTTTCATTGGAATGAATGAGCTTTCTGTCATTGACCCCAGTTTAAACCCTGACAATTTATTATTGACCCACTGCTATTGTTGCTAGGCATCTTGTGATTTAAAATATATTTTTAAAAATTATTTATCTACATATTGTGCAGCATACTTCCAAGATAGAAAAGTTCCATAATTATGTTATAATACAGATGCAGCAGGAGGATGGGCTGGAAATGCAAAGTGCGCTAGGTGTCTACAAAGCTGACTGAAAGTATCTATATGATAACTGATTTCCTCAGTAAAGCAGGGTATGCTGAGCAAGCCATGCCACATATAACTGTACCCACAAACAATGTGGGTACGCAATCTGTAGTCTTTGTCCTATGGAAGTCTACGTTGGCAGAGAACTGGGATGCATCATCTGAGTACCTCCGTGGAACTCTACTCACTAGGAGAAATTTCCACTCAGTGAGAACAGGATGGGATGTTTGAGAAGCAATTTCATTAGCTTCTTTGAAACAATCAGAGTTTTTGAAACATTTGGCCTGTAGCTGATTAAACTTCTCACTGTGGTAGTAGCTGCTGTGTTATGTCTAAATCCTATGTGGAAATCACTGATGATTAAACAAGTCTTCATCTCATGTTTTTACAAGCTATTCAGAGAAAGGCTCTATCTACCATAAAGAATTATTTGGAAGGCACATTGATTTTCATCCTGTTAGTTGTATTGCAGCTTCCTTAATGCTGATCTACCTCAGTACAACTAAAGGCTTCTGTAGTTACAGTGGAAAGGGCAGCAGCTCTCATTGTTTGCAAAATCTCTCAAATGAGAAGAGCTACTAGGAAAAAAGATGTAGCTGAGTTCTAGAAAATATTTTATTTTTTTCCTCAGAAAATACAGGAAACTGGGATTAGTTGGCAAGAGGGATGGGAGAGGAGGCATACAAATAAATACTATTTCAAGAAGATTATTAAAGCAAGTAAAACTTCAGGTAATTTCCTCTAATTCTGCTGACAGTAACTGATCTGGATTTTGTTTTGTTTCAAAATAGTGCTGTTGGGGAGAGATAAGCACAGTGAGAGAGCAGTAAAACAGTTTTTCAGCACAGACACCTCCAGAATGCATGCATGCTGCCCCTTTAAATCTTACAAGCTTTAATGCTCCAAGTGCTGGAGGGGTATTCTGCAACACTGAGTTTCAGGCAAAATTCCTAATTGAAACTGATCTCGTTTGCAGGCAGGAAAAGTAGTTGTTTATATTTAAGTATCTTCTCACTGGGCAGTTAAAATGTGTTTTCAAAAATCAAGCTACAATAGAAGCCATTAAAACACCCTAACATTTTCCAACCGCACACAATTGCCCCAAATAATTCCTATTCAAATTCAGAGAAAAATTATGGTAAAAACTGATACTATGATGAGGTCAGCTGTTGGCAAGTGCTAGTATTTTAATGACAACCACAACAGTAATTCATTAGCACTACTAGAACAAGCAGAATTTAGCTTGTGTGGAGTGGATTGGTGAACAGTTTACTTACCTGAAACAAATTCTCATCTTAAATGAGTTAGGAATGGTGACTTACCAGCTCTAGGAACTTCCTCACCACCTGTCTTTGCTTTAAGTTAGTTTCACCATCCAGGTTTGCTGTTTCTATATGGCACAGCCCATCGGGATCACTTGAGGAGAGCAGCAATATGTCAGCAGGTATAATTTCATTACAACGAAGCTGCACAAAGTCTCCAACTTTCACTTCTTTCCAGTATCTGCTTATGTATTTCTTCTCATTTCTGGGAAAAAAAAAGACATTTAAAGGACATATATTAAAAAAAAATGCACAGGCTGGGATGCTTCCCATAAGATCTGGTGTGATTTGTAACAGAACAGTTCCTTCGGAAGGTCCTCAGGTACTCTCAAGTTAGGCTGGGAAGAGGTCATGCAGACTGCCAGGAGGCCACTTCCCACTGACTCAGAATCAGGTCTGAGTTCCCAAGACACTCTTTTAAGGCCCAGAGGACCACAGGTGGATGTTAGACCTGGCTAAGCAGGGTCAGCGGGAGCTTCACACTGTCCTTTCTCTCCCTCCCTGCACTGAGTCCTCTGCCCCCATGAAGATGGGGGGGCTGCTGTGCATACAGGGTGAAAAGGAATCACTTTCAGGGCATGGAGGAACAGGCTTGGGTGCAGGACACCTGAATATCCTCCATCATGCACCATCTTCTGATAGCTTCCCCTTGTTCCCTTTTTCCAACAGTGACAAACTTTGTATGGTGCTGCACATGATATTTGGATGAGGGAGCCAAAAATCCCTAACTGAAAGGAATTTCCATTATTTATCACTAAACCTAGAATTACAAGGACATCACGTGGAAAAATTCAGTCCCAACTGTTCTACTGGGAAAGGACACTGTAATTTCTTTTAAATATTTCTGCAGTATCTCCATTTTAGCCATAGTGCCGTCTGTTGCATAGCTAATTTCTGTTTAGTTACACTGAACCTTTTATTTTGCAGTGTAATTTCTTTGTCAGTTCAAAGACTTACCCACCTGAAACACTGATGTGTGTGTTGTTTATTTAGATACAGCCACTAGTTTGCTATTTTTTTATTTTTTAACTTTTTCTTGAGAAAAAGAGGGAAAAGGAACAGGTGATTGCTTAATTAATGCTAGCTACAATTCAAGGGTTTAGTTCCATGACAGGCACAGACTCATGTGCTTTCTTGGCATTTGTGCAAATTACTTTCTTCTGTTGTGTTTCTGAAAGAAAAAAACCAGCCACAATATTCACGTGGTAAAATACCTCCTGAAATTGGGAAGCTGCTATTCTGACACTTTGTTAAGCTGTCTGAAGCTCTTTTGCCATGTGAGCCCCGAGATGGCTCTCAGTGCTGGCACTGGCACCAGTGACAGCCTCCTGTGATGGCACTTCAACTGGTAGAATGGGATTCTGGTGGTGGTGGGGCAATGCCTTCACTGGTGTTACAAGAATTAGTAACTTGACTTTTATTCATGTATTTAGCCTAAATCCTGAACAATAATGCGTCCGGCAGCACAACAAGGATGTATCAGATCAGGTTTTACCTCCTAGAATTTCTTCATTGTCCTTTCCTAACATCCAGTTTATAAAGGGAGGAATGAAAATTATGGTTGGGATTTCTATTTTGATAAAACCTGAAAAAGATTAATGAGTCAGGTGTAAAACATGATAGTCTAACAACGGCAGGTAATGAACATACTAGGTGCTGAAATTACCCATTCCCTTCACACTCAGGCCAAAATCAACATTTAACTTTTCCTGCTAATGAGTATGAATTGCTTTGAAACCCAGTGTGCCATAACAGTACAAATCACTGCACCGCAGATCTGAAGGGTTTGTTAGACATGCAGTCTGTAACTCCAAATCCCTTCACATGAGGCCGTTGCTCTTCATCCTTTTTAATTTAACTGTGAAACTGGGTGATGTTCAAATGCATGTCCAATGAGTAGCAGTATAGAAGTATCATCAGGCTAAAAATAACAAGTAGTCCCATACTATACTATAAGCACTTAATTTTTTTTATTTAACTTCTATTGTTTGAAAATCATTGCTATTTTAGCATTTCCTCATCTCTCGCATGCTTAGCAACTGCCACAATTATATACACTGTGGCAGGAAGGGTGGATATTGAGCAACACAAGGCCAAATTGCTCTGCTGGGATAAATGAAGTTGCTCAGCCTGGAGAAGAGAAGGCTCTGGGGAGACCTTATTGTGGCCTTTCAATATATAAAGGAGGCTTATAAGAAAGACAGAGAGAGACTTTCTACCAGGGCCTGTAATGACAGGACAAGGGATAATGGCTTTAAACTGAAAGAGACATAAGGAAGAAATTTTTGGTGATGAGGGTGGTGGGACACCAGATCAGGTTGCCCAGAGAAGCTGTGGATGACCCTTCATTGGAAGTGTCCAAGGCCAGGCTGGAGGAGGCTTTGGGCAATCTGGTCTAGTGGAGGGTGTCCCTGCCCATGGCAGGGGGGTTGGATTAGGTCCCTTGCAACCCAAACCATTCCATGATTCAGTGAATCTATGAATGCAAGACCTCCTGCACACACACCAGGGCCCCAGGGCAGAGCCTCCTTCATCAGACACACAGGAACAATTTGGCCCAGTATTCCACTTGATCAGCTCCCTGCTAACAAGGGCCAGTTGTGGATGGAAAGTTACTGTCTGCATGGAAAATTACTTCCTAATCCTCCTCAGCCAGGGTTGCTGTATGTCCTCTAGCACAGCTCTGAACTCCGTCTTGTCTCACTGCCGCCAGTGAGTGGTCACTACAAGTATTCTCTGCAGAGTACGGCATGATACTGTCTTCAGACGTGGCGGTTCACATACTAGATGAACTATAAATACATCAGTCCTTTAGGAGCATTCCTTTAACATGCTCAGCCTACTCTTCTGAACACACAGGTTAGCTCACCTCGAGACAGGACAAACACACCAAGCGACCCCATTGATACAGTTACAATTTTGCCATTGACTTCTGCAGAGACTTTGTCATCCAAGTTTTATACCACCTAATAAATGTTTATTCTTGCTGTTATATTGTGCCAGTAAATTGCAGAAGTTTTATGATATAGAGAGTTAGGAATGCCACACTTCCTAGAAGAGAAAGACTCTTTAAAATTTAAGCTCTCTTTTGTGCTGTAAGGTGTGGCATACAGACATGCTTGATTTAAATTTTATTTGAAGTTCAGGGATTTGAGCAGTTTTGCCTCAGTGTGTCCTCACAGACATTATTCTTCCAGTCCCTCTTCAGAAGGAGCCCCTTCCATGTCTCTGACGATGTACATCTCTAACGATGTACATTGCATTGGCCTGCTGTGATAGTAAACCTGAAATAAATACATATGTGCATCATTACGTGTTTGGTGGTGTTTTCAAACGGTTCAGTACACTTTTCAACTTCAGAGCAAACATAACATCTAAGGAGACGCTTCCGCTGAGCTCTTCACAGTAGTGGCCAGGTTTGGAGGACACCAACAGTTGGACAGACAGTACTGGAATGAATACCAGATCCCAGGGACCACCTCCCTGCACCTGCAGGCACTGAGGTAATGGAGACCACTCCCTATGCACTCTTACAGAACATGAACAAAATGCAATAATGTGGGTGCTCTTTACTCATCCAACAGTCAGCATGATTTTTCCTGGCAGGTCCTGTCTATCCATTTACCTGGTAGGTGCTTCTGAAAGGCCTTCCTGTCTCTGGTCTTTAGTATCCTAAAATCATCTGCAGATTTTGCTGTCTTTCCTTTTATAATTACCCAGCTGATAAATGAATGTTTCACACACAGATGCCTTGGTCTATTTCTCTGGGACCTTGCCATTTATTCTTGCTTTGTCCTGACGCTATCACTACTGTGTGGTTGGTGACGGTCCTCTGCAGTCTCAGCACAGGGCTTCAGGCACTGCTCGCAAGGGACTCTTCAAAAAAAGCTTTTGGCAAGTTTAAGTAAACATCATATGACCTCCTGGAATATTTTGTCGAAGGGCTCAAAGAATTCTGGCAGGAACACAGGACTGGGAGGCAGCATCTCATTTAGTGGGTGCAGCCCCCTCCCACAGTCGGAGGAAACCCTGCCATGGACATTTAGGCCAGAAGCTAATACGCCACAACTCCCATTCTACCTGCACTTGCTTATCACAAACCTGAAGATACGTTTTAGTACCTATGACAAACTTAAGGTTGATCCTACAAGAAGCCAAAGCTGCAAACTACAACGAACCGCAGGAAGAGGTCAGAGATACTAATTCTTATCTTTCAAACCTGGAGAGTTAGACAAAAGTCTTCCAAATCAATGTGCTGCCAACAAACACTTCTATTCTGCAAAAAGAATAGATACTGTTGGTAGTCTCCAATTAAATCACAATGATGAACTATTAATTTCAGACATCTATGCCCAGTTACTGTAACATGTGGTGGTCACGTATTAAAGATGTCTAGCTTCCTGCACACAACCTAATCTTGATCAACACATTTGCATGCAACGAATGTACTTGTCAGCTGTGGTTTTAACCCACAGTCACGTATATCTTCATGCTCCTCTCTGCCACAATTGGAAGCAGAACTTGCTAGTACTTTCACTTTTGTAAGCATATCTTTACAGGTAGACATGGACTGAAATCTAAAGACGGATGGCTAAAAAGTCTGCCGGCACAGCTGCATTGACATCAACACTGTTGTTAGCCAGCAGCAAGTGCGGCCCCCTGGCAGGAGTCAAACTTCTTTAGAGGCTGATGTTCTTTTGCAGCAATGAAGAGCAATTATCCCAGCATATCCGCTTTCAAACGTACACGGGAGAGTCTGCAACATCCTTTCAAGTGCATGAACATAGAGAAAATCACTTTAATTAATATTAAAAATTTGTATTACTCTACCTACTGCATATATTTGGCCTATGCTCTGTTTTGAAGCAGAATAGCCTGCGGGTTTGTGCCAAATTTGAGATTGGCTTTGGTTAACAACAAAAACTAAACAAGAAATATTGACGATTTTTTTCTTTACATTTCAATTTTAAATTTAGAAACACAGAAACTCAGAAATTACATTTTCTTTTCCTATTAACCATGCTTTTCTTTCTTCTGCTCTCCTTTGCGACATAAGCTGATAGAGATCATGCCATAATTTTGCTTTTCTGGCCATGCAGACATCAGTTTTTATCTACAAAAGGCTGAAGATTTCAAACTGTCTCTATTTAAATGTTACAAAATTGTTTACTTATTAATAGCTTTTAACTGTTTTAGTATAATAAG